GCAGGAGAGAGACCCAAGAGAAAGGGCAGAGTCACCTGTTGTTAGAAGGCAGTTAAAGTCATAACAGCAGATAAGGTGAACTAAGGAATGCCACCAGAAGAAAGGAAAAAGCTGTAAAATGCATTAGAAATGACAAAGGAAATAATGCAAATTAGATGAAATAAAAGCAACAGAAATTCAAACAACAGATACACAGATTTTTTTTCTTAAACACCATTTGGAAAGTTTTAAATCGAGTCGATCATTTACTTCATTCCTCTGTCTTTTCACTGGAGAGGGCAGCCATCACGGGCCAAAGCAGTTGGGCCCTAGAGAACCCACTTCTTTGGGCTGCTGAGTTGTCTGCCACCTGTCATTCTAGAAAAGCAGCCCTAACATGTGCCAGCACTCACTGCTGATGCCCTCAGCCTGGCTGCACATGGGAGTGCAGGTCAGAGGGCCTTGCTGCAAACCACCAATAAGACTTGTTTGGCTTTAGATTTCTGTAGTGGTATTTTTGCAGAGTTCCAAAGAGAGCTCCCAAAGAGTCCATTTGGGCATCTGCAGAGATTTTCGTCTAAAATCAGTTGAGTTGAATGATTTTACAGCTGCAGTTTCAATCTGTTTTCTCCCTTTTCTCTCCTCACCCCGCCCCCCGCCCCCCCACACACCTTTTTTTTTATTAAGCTGAGTGATCTAGGTACTGATGTTTCCTGTCTCTCAAGCTGCTGCTGGCGTGGGGATTTCATAGGTCACCTCATTCAGATTCTCCTGTAGGGGCTAATTTCCAAACACTGACCCTAATCTACAAGCAAATTCACTGGCCGTCTGAGTCTGTTTAACCCCTTAAAGTAGCGGAATCCTACTGATGCTGCTATAAGTACCCACCCCCCCGGAAAGAAACATTGTGTCCCAGGTCTTGGATTGTCCAGAGGAAAGGAAAGATGGCAAATGTTGGGCAAAGTCAGCATCACAATTTTTCTCCCTGCAAAAAGTAGATTATTTTGTTTAACATGACCTTAATGGATATTATATGTGTCTATATTTGATACACTTTTAATGTATATTATTTATAAGTTAGGAGTGGACATAGGATACACTGTTGGGATGTTTGTGCCTTACATTTATTGTAATTTAATATTAAATTACAGTGCAATGCAGACTTGAGAAAAGCATTTTCTTAGTGTGACCATGACTTACGTCTATTCTCATTCATGAAGCTCTGTTGTTCATCTCTGATATAAGGGTTTGTATTAGAAGATGCAAATACTTCAACTGCAGTTTGGCTTCTATGACATTTGTTTAACTCATCTTAGTGCTACAATACTAAACGCATCAGTAAGTGAGCGCATTCGCAGTCATAACTCATGGTGGAATCATCTTACATCATCTTGTTTTTCTTTGATTGCTTGTGTTNAACAAAAAGTATGAGTTAGTCCTCTCAGAAAATCGCTACTTAAAACATCAGCAATCGCAAAGATGTCCTTTGGGAGTTTATCTTTGCCTTCTGAGTATAAAAGACCTTTTGTATTTAAAACATTTCTGAAATAGGGTTGGTGTGGGGAGAGAGGTTGTGAAGGGGACATGGCGTCAAGGAGATTTGGAAGCAGACAAGTTATTTCCTTGAACACAATTAGGATTTAAACAGCATGATGCTGACTGTTTCTCCTCTAATGGTTGAGGAATAAATGAAAATTAACAGCACTTTTACTGAAATCAAACGTAACGTGATTCCAGCTTAGAACCTTATAAAATCAAGTTAATTTCCATTCCTAGGATAAACAGCCCCGCAAAGGCCTGTGAATGAAAACTCAAATGTGACCTCTGGCAATTTTGTTCACTTTAGGTCCTATTTGCTTTTTTCTAAAAACAAGCGCAGTATGGGAGGGGTAATTGTTTAGTCTCCAGACAACCTTTCAGCTCCTTCTGTGATTGTGAGGCGCTGGTGCCTATGTGGAGAGCGCCACAGAAAGCCGCTCTGATTCTGGATTTGGGGGCACAGGACACCATTCTCCTTGAGCCGTCGTGGCGCCCATCAAAGGCAATTTGGCTGGATTGACTTCATCAGGAATTAGGGTGTGATGTATTTTAGCTTATTAGCCATACACCCCCACGGAGAGTGGGAGAGTGTCCCAGCTCCTAATCATCATCACTTATGTGTACAACTTCGCACTCTTCCCTTCCCTCGCCTGTAAAATAAGTCTGAGTGGGTTGACTTGAAGTGACTGAGGGTATTGAGAGGAAAGGTTACTGCGCAGGCTCCCTGATCAGTCAGCTCTCAATTGATTTCTAAAAACAATTATATTGATTCTGTTACTCAGGTCCTTATTTTCTGTTGGCCTGTGCATAAGTCATTTCTGAAAAAATGGCAAGTCCTACGTTAGATCAATCAGTGAAATGATTTTCAACCTCAATGGTTCTATACTAATGATTTTAAAAGGAAAACAAGTGTGACCTACTGGTACAAATGCAATAAAATACTAATTTCCAAATGTGCAAGACAAATAGATTGGAGGTGTGGTCAGACAGTGACTGAATAAGAAGAAACTGTTTCTTACTGTGTCACGATTGTTTGCAGTACATTTTATTCATTCCTTTCTATATGTTAATAATAGTCTCATGAAAATATCCGCATTCCCGAGTAAGGTAACAATACCAGGTTATTACAGACCACAGTAATTGGGATAGATTAAATTATTGTTCAAATATTGGGCTTGGCACGTGACTTGCTTGGGACTCAGGGTGGGCACGATGTCATTCCCTGTCCTTGACTTTGGGCTCAGTGTGTGTCTTGTCTTGGCAAGGGGGACATTAGCCGGCTTGAAATGTGATTGCGTGTTGGCCTTGATCGCCTTCATTTCTGCTATTGTCATACTCACATAATGACATATGTGGCGGAGACCAGAGCTCAGCCAGCAGTGAAGCCCAGTCTAGGCCAAACAGCCAGTATACATGCGTCTCTTGTTTTAAGTTGGTATATTTCTGGGTGATTTGTTATGCAGTCATAGCTCACTAATAGAATAATAATAACCATTAATTGGACACTTACTGGCTAAAAGTGCTAAACATGCATTATCTTATTTAATTCTTACCTCAAGCCTCTGGGAGAGATGTTATCCAAATTTTGAAAGAAGCTATAGTTAGTGTTAGGGTCAGTATTTGGACCTAGTCCTTTATGACTCCAACGTCATGCTCTTAAACGTTTTTAGAATAAAATTATTCATTAAGGTTAAGAGATGGTTCAGAACAGGACCCTGAATCTGACTCCCCACCAAGACCTGTAGGTCATGTATGATCTGGCCTCCTGTATCTCTTTCCAATTTCCTGGTGTGGCTCTGGCCACAGGGCCTTACCTCCAGACCGTCAAACTTGCTAAGCTTTGACCTACCTGAAGCTTTTGTGTGTGTGCTTGTCTACATGGACATATTTTCTCTGTTCTTTCATGGCTGGCCTTGTCCCATCCTTTGGACTTCAGAAAGGTCTACCTGACCACCTCTATCTAAAATAGCCTCTCTTCCTTGTTTTTCTCTCTTATCACCCAGTTTGCTCCCTTCATAGCATTTTCACCATTTGTAATTATTTACTTGCTGTCTGTATATTTCCCTTACCAAATGCAAACCCACTGGAGAAAGGCGTGTTTGTCTTGCATTCGGTTGTATCCAGAGCATCTGTGCGGTGTTTTGCACACAGCATGTGCTCAGGAAATATGTGTAGAGTGGGTGAGGGAACAGATGAGTAATAGGACAAGGAGGTGAATAACAGGCTGGTGAGCTGGGGCCTGCAAACCTTTGCTGGACATTGCGGAAGGGAACCCTGAGTAGCTAGAGACAAGAGTCAGGGTGTGGGGCATCGGGCACGGAACATGAGGGAAGGCTGGAGGGGCCAGGCAGAATGTGTCAGAAGCAAACACCACCCACTTTGCCACTCCACATAGAGCTCCGCCTGGGTACCCAAGAGTCTATTCTTTGCAACACTTCAAACCAGAATCTATACAATAGAAAACACGTACTAGTATGAGTATAGTGATTTGAACTGCGTGTTTTTTTTTTGTTAGGATTAGAAAAAGAGGTTAACATAAAAAAAAAAAGGAAAACATCTCATGGTACCTGATGCCAGAGGAGTGAGGGCGTCTCTGCCCAGCGCGACCTTCAGTGAGCGTCCCTCTCACTGCCACTCACACCGGATCCTGAGGAGACTTGAGAGGGAGACTCAGACTGGATGCCAGGACATTGCCTGAGACTCACTGGCAATTTTTCATGGGGTAGAAATGACAACTGTATCACACAGGCAAGAAATCCAGCAAGGACTTGACAGATGAAGTGTGAGTAGAATCGGAGTTGCTTTCCTGCTGGACGAGTTTTACACTTTGGGATACACTTCTCAATCTGATTGTGCAAAGATATAAAAATGGAGACTCAAGCATTCTGTCTTAAACTAAACTTGGCTCCTATTACCTAGCCACGGAAGTCATGAAATTTTCCTTCTAAGAGATTGCAGGTATGATGTGTGTATGTACTAAGAACAATAGCTTGTTCCTGCTTTTCTCCCCAGAATCCAAGTCGGCATATATGGAATCTATTCCTTGATCGATTTGTCTGACCAATATTATTAAGCTCCTACTGTCTTAGACATGACAATGTACATGATGATCAAGGGAGTGAAGACTCTTGAACTTATGAGGAAGCAGGGGCATATTCATGGGGGGACAGCTCCTGCCTGCCTTCCTGAAAAAAGGGGAAACCTAGAGTGTTCTACTTTATTTCCCCCCGAGAGTACCATATGCCTATGGTACAACATAAGAATGGAGTATGACAAAAAGAAACAGAAGAGAATGTTTTGGGATCTGCTTGTGACTTTTTACACATAGGAACTACAGGGTCAGTATGATACGCTCACTTGCCAGTTCTTACTCATGTCATCCGCATAGCCTTGACTTTTGGAGCTTGACGCTATTATCATCCCCACTTTACAGATGAAGAAACGGAGACACAGGAGTTTAAGGAAACTGTCATTGTCACCCAGCTAACAAATAGCAGCACCATGACTCCCAACCAAGGCGGACTGGCTCTAGAATCCATGCTGTGCCACATCGTGAATTAACCAAGCTCTAAGGAATAGTACGGTGGATGCTTGTGAGAAACTTCCAGCATACGTAAGTGAACCCCTTGATCCCGCATGCATGTGAATCCACCAGAATGACATGCCTCGCCCTGTTTGCCAGGCACCCTCCTTAAGATTCAGCCCAAATGTGACACCCCCAAAGTCTACTGGCCTTTGCAGTCTGGACTAGGTCTCCTTTTATGTCCAAATAGCTCCCGGTATTTATGGCATTCACCTTCAGAGTTTTAGAGTTTATTTGCTTGTGTCTCTTTCTCAGAATATGAACAACTTGAGGACAGGAAATCTGTCTGTGTGCTAGTTACATAGAATTTCTTTAAAAGGACCAGCGGTGAGGATTACATGAGATAGTACGAGTAAGGGTACAATCAGTGATTAGTATTTGGAAAGTCATTATTATCTCTTCAACTTGATCTTATAACAAACACCCTACACCATCTAATAAGCTTCTTTCAAACTGGTCAGGGAGCCCTCAGAGCTCGGGGCCGCCTCCAGGCTGTTCACATGGCAGCGTGCCCTGCCAGGAGTGCTCTCCCGCCCGGCCCTTCTCCAGCTGGCCTCCTCACCTCTGCCCCCTCGGGAGGCCTTGTCTGACTTCTTATGGCATAGGCTCCATCTTGTTGTCTTTCCGTGTAACCCTGTTTGTGTCTTGCATATTATATTAGGGTTAAGATATTAACTTGCATTTCTTTTTGCTGGTATACAACAATCAAAATAATGAAAGCCATTGTAATACATAATAAGAAATATATATTTGGGTTTCACCCCTGTTTTTGGCACAGAGCTTCTGAAACCCTTAGAGTTTCCTAAGTGATGAGATCATGGTATCTTTTGTGATGTTAGTGAAGTGACTTTTGAACCACACTTAAGGAGAGGGACTGGTTGCCAGAGAACCAACCATGTGATTGGAGATTGGAACATTCAGTCCCACCCCCTGACCTAAGGTGAAGGGAGAGGAGCTGGAGGTAGAGTTTATTCGCCAATGGCTAATGCTTTAGTCAATCGATCATGCCTATGTAATGAAGCCTCCATAAAACCCCAGAAGACCTGGTTCCCTGAGCTTCCGGGTTGGTGGGCATGTGAAGGTGTGGGGAGAGTGGCACATCTGGGGAGGGCCTGGGAGCTCAGTGCCCCTTCCTATATACCCTGCTCTGTTCATGTCTTCCATCTGGATGTCCATCCGTATCTTTTATCATACCCTATTATAATAAGCTGGTAAATATATGTAAAGGTTTCCGAGTTCTGTGAGATGCTCTAGCAAATTAGTTGAGCCCAAGGAGGGGCACAGGAACTTCTGATCTATAACACGTTGGTCAGAAGTATAGGTACCAACCTGGGCTTATGACTGATGACAGGAGCAGGAAGGGGAGCAGTCTTATAGAATGGAACCCTTAACCTACTGTCTCCAAGTAGGTAGTGTCAGAATTGAGTTGAACTGTAGGCCACCTGGCTGGTGTCAGGAGAACCGCATGTTGTTGGTGCTGTGGAGACCAGCTCTTCCCACACGGAATTAGGGTCCAGAACGCCCTTTAGCTATCGTGTTTTGCTTTCTTTATGTTTCTTTTGTTTATCTGCCAGGTGTTTGGAGGGCCAACTTTCAAAGAGGGGATTGTGCTGGGTAGCCCGGAGGGGAGATAAGAAAGGCTCATGCATTGGAAGCTGGGGGTTGGAGGGTGGAAGAGAAAATTTTCAAACACTGGGAAAGGAACAGAGGAAGGGGTCCTGTTCTGGTTTGCTGACAGTGTTTCCGGGAAGGCTCAGAGTTCCAGTGTGCAGGGCTCTGTGTTGTGTCTAAAGGAATGTGGCTTCCTTAGAGCTGTATTCATCATCCCAGCTAAGAGTCATGAGTTCAAGTGTAGCACAGAGGCAGCAGGCTACCTGCCCATCCAGGACCGCTGTAGGATCAGTGATCTCAGCAATCCAGTCCCAGCTCTATTGGCCTGAAGACTGCAGGCTCCTCCCCAAGGCTACAGGGGGNCAATAGATTGAAACAACTACTTGACTTGGAGCTGATGGGTGCGGAAAAACACACTGTTCCCTAATTAAAAACAAAACAAAACACCTGGCGTTCAAACTTCTACTCACTGCTATCATTTTATATCATGTTTATGCCAGAGTATAAATTAAGCCATGTCCTCAATTATGTGGTTTATCTGTAATATAAATTGAGAAGAAAGTATTTTTCTGAAAATAGACCTCTGTGAACCTATGGTAAAGTAAATGGACAAAAAGGTACACATAAATAACTTAGAATAAACTTTGGTGTTTCTTCATAAGATCATAAGTGGTCACAATGCACACATCTCCTTCCCTTGAACAATGAATTTCCTTGATAACCAACCACATTGAACCCAAAGCCACCAAACTCTAATAAAAGAAGCCAAGAGGTGCAGAGCAGTGAATGCTGCAGCTATGCCAACAGAAAATTATTGCAAGAGAGCAGCCTGGCTGACTTCCTGTATTCATGTTAATGACATATTGTAGATATTCTACACTTAAGTAGAAAAGTAATTTCCAAGGAAGATGGGTCAGCTCTACGGTAAGCTGGACTGTGTCAACGTTACAACACTTAAAATAAAATCACCATTGGGAACTATGTTAACACTTTATCTTTTCATTGTCGTCAAGAACAATGGATATTTCAGGCTCAAAGGGACAATATTTTTGGTGGTAATAATGGTGAAAGAAATACCAGTTTTTTTCTGAGTGAGAAAAATAGACACATCTGGCTGTGAGCAACAGTGAATTCATAGCAGCATTGAGAGTATCAGGAGAAAATTTTTTACGTCACTAATTTCTTTAAACTGGGCTCTCTAGCTATACCCCAAAGCAGTTTCTGACTGCTGAATTTGAACTATATGGAACCCTCATGACGTTACAAGAGGAGTGAACATTTGGACCGGCTGGGGTTGTCAGGTAGCTCTATATGATCTATTTGGTGGACCCTTGGCTTCCATTTCGCAGAGCTCTAGAGCCATAGCGATNCACAGATAGCATATGCTGAACCCAATGTTCAATAGAGACATTTTGATTCCACAGCCTATTTTCTTAACTATTTCTGTTATCAAGAAGCTTACTAATACACTCTTTAGGTTAGGAAGCATGACATAAACATATGAAATAGATAAAATGGAATAATGAATAAGAGACAAAATAAATTGTATTGCCTATTTCTCAGAGGTTTTGCCATGCCATTTCTTTCAAGTTTATGCATGGCCAGGGGCAAGGAGGGTACCAGCAAATCAATACAAGCTGGATAAAGGAGTTGTCAAAGAGCATTTAGCACTCAGATGAGGTTGGCATGGGCTGAGAAAATGTATATATTACTCTGTATTGGGGTTTAGGCCTGCCTGGCTAATATATGATATATGATTTTACAACTCCGTACCAGGGCTAGCATGTCAGACCAAACAAGCCTGGGGATATATTATTATTTAGGGTTGTAATGCCAGAATACCAAGAATGGTCCATGTGAGATAGTTGTGAGAACAGCATAGCTGGGGAGTAATGTGTCATCCAAGCTGAGTTGGTGGAATACAGAGGAAAAGATTGAAGGATAAGAGAGGTTAAAAGCAGACTCACAGAGTACCAGTAGATGTTCAGATGTTATAGAAAACTTTTGAGTTAATGGCAGCCGAATTTGGGGAAGCATCAACTTCAGGATGCTAGGTGGTATGGACTGAATGTTTATATCCCCCCCAAATTCATATGCTGAAGCCCTAACCCATTATGTAATGATGGTATTTGGAGGTGGGGACCTTTCGGAAGTAATTAGGTCACAAGGGTAGAGCACCTCTGAATGGAATTGGTGCCCTTATAAGAAGAGACACAACAGAGGTGAACCTTCTCTCCATCATATGAGGATACAGCGAGAAGGTGNTTAGCATAATACTCTCTAGGTCCATCCATGTTGTTGCAAATGTTAAGAGTTCATTCTTTTTTATGGGAGAGTAATACTCCATTGTATAAATGTGCCACAATTTCTTTATCCAATCGTCTATTGATGGGCATTTTAGTTGTTTCCATATCTTGACTATTTTGTGAATAGCTCTGCAGTAAATATAGGGGTGCATATATTTTTTTGAATTAGTGTTTTAGATTTCTTTGGATAGTCAGAAGTGGAATTGGATTAATAGGATCATAAAGTCCTACTTTTAATTTTTAAAGGAACTTCCATACTGTTTTCCATAGTGGCTGTATCAATTTGCAATGTCACCAACAGTGCACGAAGGTCCCCTTTTCTCCACATCCTCGCCAGCATTTGTTATTTGTTGATTTATTGATAATAGCCATCCTGGCAGGAATGAGGTGATGTCTCATTGTGGTTTTTATCTGCATTTCTCTGATGATTAGTGACATTAAGCATCTTTTCATATGTCTATTGGCTATCTGTCCTTTTTTGGAGAAATGTCTATTCATGTACTCTGCCCATTTTTAAATTTAATTGCTTGTTCTTTGGGGGGAGATTCTTTTAAATCAGGAGTAGCAAGCATGCAGTGGGTGTTTTTATTGCTAAGTATGCCCAATATGCAAGCTGCTTGGGATCTGACCGAAAGACCATGGGAACTGGAATGACACGGAGGGAAGGGTGATGTTGGTAAGGGGTGACTGTTTGTTGAGAACAAACAATCCTGGTAGCCACACATGGAGCGTAAGAGAAGGTGTGGGTGAAACACAGCCACCAAAAAGCTAGACGGAATGAAATACTAGTTCAATATTTTACAGAGCTTTGTGGTAAATGGTGATCTCCTTGGTCACTGGAAAATGCAAGGCTGGTGAAAGGCAAAGAAGTGAGGGCTTGCTGCTACTTGTAGACTTCCCGCTAATCTCAGGGGC